TTTAATCAAAACAAATTTGATTAATTGATTATTTATTCATTAATAATTCTAGTGTATATTTTGGGGCGTTACAAATGGTCAAACAGAAATTCCATGTTTTTGAATTCTGCCCAACACTCCCATTGAAGAAGTTCCCTCTCACAATTGACCAATACCCTATCAAGTTTTGCCCATTTGTTCCCTGTATTACATGAGAATTGCAGTCTAGTAGATTTGGCATCAAGTAGACCAGTATTCAATCTGAATTGGAGTAGGTCAGTCATGGCATAGGCATGAGCATGGTAGATGACACTTTCACTAGAATTCAAAACAGAGTTGAAGTCACCCAAAATTTCCCAAGGAGTACTTATCCTTCCAGCAACATTAGACAATCTCTCCCATAAACCTCTCCTCACGGTCACATCATATAGAGCAAAAACAAAAGTAATGTGGAAACACTTCTGTGAAATGGCACACACAACACTACAATAAGGTTCCATCATAGTACCTTCATCAACGGTAAGGGCCAGGGCCCCTTCCTATTCCTTTGTTAGTACCCCCTCTATACCCATAGTTTTGTCCACGACCACTTCCCCTAGTCTCACTTATGTATGGTGGCTGTTTTGGTGCTTGGATGGCTTTTTTCAATGGATGTGTTGTGAGTTTACCCTTCCCCACAACATTGAACCCATCATCACCATCAACTTTAGGGAAGGAAGGAGAGGGGTCATTGTTGTTCTTCTCTAGTAGAGTAGTCTTCCCCCTGAGTCTAGCAGTGGCCTCTTTCTCCTTAACCTTGGTGGCCTCATTGTCATCTAAATGAGAGGTCCGTTTGGCCTCCTCTGCAGCTTTTGTCTCAGCCATAAGTGTGGTCTTCATCAATTCTACTTTCGCCTTCTCCAAAACCCTTTGTTCCTCCAAGGTTTTCCTTCATTCAATATCATACAGGTCATTACAGTCGAAAGGTGTGTGGCCAAAGGATTCACAGTGGTAACAGTAGAAATGCAATCCATCATATTCAACAAGTTGATTGTAAGAGCCTCAAGGGAAGTTCACCTTTAACGAAGTAGGGGGTGACTTTGAAAGGTCCATATGCACAAGAACTCTACAAAAGTTTTGTTTTTTGTAGGTGATCAGTTTCAAGAGTCATCTTAGAGGCAACTGTGTTGCTTAGGCCATTAGTAAAGAGAGGTTTGCCCAGTTTAAAATCAATCTTGGACAAGGTAGTAGGGGACCAAAGTTGCATTAGAACGTCCAAGAATTTAACCCACATAGGCTTGGTTGAGAATGGTTAAGCATTCCACATGAAATCATCCTGTGGGATGTTGAGAAGGAGTTTTTTTTATTGTAGATTCCCCTCTCTCCAGAATTCAGCACTTTGTCCCTGTCCTCCATAGTCATAAATTTGAAGATAACCCATTCCCCATGATGAGGGAGGATTTGACAGGGTACCTTCCAAGTGTCCACAAGAAGCTGGATAGATTCAAGCCCCGGGAACCTACCAATGAAGCATCCAATAAGGCACGGTCCCCATATCTCCTCAATGAGTTTCATATCTTCAAGTTGAATACACACCTCTTCATCCTTCCCCATTTCCAATTGGAATAGCTTCATCTCTTTCTCCTCAACTCTATTCTTCTCAAACAATGAAGCATATGTGTTCTTTCAGTTGGTTTGTCATTTTTATGAGTATTTGCAGTGTCCATGGGTTGTTTTTCGAAGTTTGCAGTAGGCACATTCGCAGGTTCCTCAACAGAAAGCTCAAGTTCTTTTTCCATGTTCACCTCTTTGAATTGACCATTGTGAAGGACGAGATTTTGCAAATTCACCTCCTTGGTTTGTGTTTCTGTTTCAACAGGGGCAACTTTTTCCTTTTGCAATTCGATCTCAATTACTTCTTCATCCAAAGAAGGTGATTGAGAAAGTGAATCAGACGAAGGAGACCCACCATCATCCTCGCCAACCAATTCCGATTCACCATCAAGTCCAGACTCAGACCAGAGGCTCCCACCACCTCCACGACTTCCTCCTTGATGCCCTCAAGAAAGACCTGCAAATCCTTCTTCTTTGGAGGAGTGGGAAGGGTGGGTTCTACTCCCTTTTTTACCTTTCCTCGCCATCAAACAAAGGAAGAAAAAGAACAAACACAACCACACTTACCAAGAATCCAAGGCGTATCGTGAAGAAGATGACCAGTAACTTTGAATCCTAGGTTGTCGTTGCCAGTCCAAAACTTCCTGATAGCCCTTGAATTATGAATAGATAGACTCGCCTTGGGTTGTAGAACACGAAGCCTTAGTTGGAAGTGAAGGAATCCACCGAAGAACGACTAGATATGCCCAGATCTGGTACGTGGCTACTATTCATTGCATTGCCAGAGAGAGAAGCTCAGTCCGTGCATTGAGAGCTATTTTCTTGAGAGCTCTTTCAACTGTAAAAATGGGTAGTGGTGCATTGGTCGTTCTTAGTTGGTGGAGCAATTTGTCTGGTTAATTTCGTTAACGAACGAGACCTCATCGTGCTAACTAGCTATGCGAAGGTATCCCTTTGTGGCCAGCTTCTTAGAGGGACTATGACCTCTTAGGCCGCGAAAGTTTGTGGCAATAATAGGTATGGGATGCCTTTAGATGTTCTAGGCCACACGAGCGATACACTGATGTATTCAATGAGCCTATAGCCTTGGCCAATAGATTTGGGTAATCTTTGAAATTTCATCGTGATGGGGATAGATCATTGCAATTGTTGGTCTTCAACGAGGAATTCCTAGCAAGCATGAGTCATCAGCTCGCGTTGACTACATCCCTACCCTTTGTACACACTGCTCGTCTCTCTTATCGATTCAATGATCTAGGGAAGTGTTTGAATTGTGGTGATGTGGGTGGTTTGCTGCTCGTGACATTGCGAGAAGTCCATTGAACCTTATCACTTAGAGGAAGGAGAAGCCATAACAAGGTTTCTGTAGGTGAACCCGCGGAAGGATCATTGTCGAAACCTCGTGGTAGATGACTTGTTAACCTGTACCAATTATCGATTCGAGTGTTGTGGCACCATCTTTTTTATTTGCCCATGACGAACAAAAACACCGGTGTAGCAGCGTCAAGGAATATTGATTTGCAGTATAGAACGGGCAAAAATAACAACTAAAAAGCATTCCTTGTAAGTAGGGTGTCGAACCTCAAGGAGACACGAGTTAATTTAATTTAAACAAAAGTTTACAAAAGAAGTTGTAAAATATTTTAGTCTTTTTTGTTTTAAAGATAAAATAAAAAGTGTAAAAGAAGAGAGTTCCAAACAACACAGTTTTTGATGATGAAAAGTTAGGGGTAGAAATTGGTAAATTAATTGTCTAATGTTTTTATAAAAGTTGGATTGTTAATTTATTTTTATATAGAATGTGTGGGGTTGCAGAAAAGTATTTAGGGACGCTCTGGCAGTTCACCTAAATAATAACCACTCCGATTTTAACACGCTAATGATAAATCCGGAGTAATTATTTATTAATAACGGCAACCATAATTATTTTATTGTATGTTTACCCAATTTAATGGTGTAAAAGTACAACTCAATAATTATGTCCACCCAAAAGTCTTCAATCCCGGTTAAAGGTAGAGAAAGCTTATGGTGTAATTAAAAAGTGTTCTATTTTATGATTATTTTAATTTTAACTTAAATTTCTTTTAACAATTATGTTTATGATTGGGCCCTTAATTAAAAATCACAAACATTCCAAATTTATTTATTTTTAAATACAACATCTAAGTAAAAATAAAATCAACAATCCATGTTAAAAATATTTAAAACATTAAGATGGACAATTAATTACACCAACTTCTAACCCCAATGGAATTTAGAAATTCATATTCTGAAGCTTAAACAAATAAATATTTATTACAAACATAAAAATCTTACAAAATGAAAGGTATGTTCTTGAGCTCCAAATATGATAAATGATGATGAAGATGGAGTAATTTTTATGTGTTTGGATGAAGAAAGTGGTGAGATGTTAGTGAGGGAGTAGGAGAATTTCGGATGGGAGAGAGGAGAGAAATGGGGGATTCTAACCTCTTAGGAGAAGAGAGGAGATGGATTTTATAGATAAATTCGTATATACGGAGTATATACAAACAGTATTATAATATGTCAAAACATCTCCTGTAGCGCATATGGAAATGCAGCTGGTTGTCGTGCTCCGTAACCCGTGTTCGAAGCTTCCCACTGTTCACTATTTTGTCATTTTTCTCTCTCAATTCATGGGCCGAATTTAAAACAGATAATAAACCGTAACCGCCAGGGTTCAATAAGAGAAGTCCAGGGTTCAATACCCAATGCTGTTTTTCTCCTTTCCTTTTTATTTAATTCCTTCTTTTCTTCAAGTCTCTTCCATTTCTTTTTGTCCCAAATTTGCATGTTTATTCTCCATTCTTCCAATTATTATCAATGCGTCCAAATGACCTCAAAATACCTGCAAAATATATCAAACCAAGCATAGGACCGCTCTACCAAAATAAAACGGAAAATTGACATAAAATGTAAACATTAATTCAATTGGGACTCAAAACTCCTTCAAAATATGCCTAAAAAGTGTATAAAATATGTGCATATCAAATATCATAATGAGTGTGCAGCCTCACAAAGCTTTATTCTATTGCTTATAAGGTTGGCATCCTTTAAATAAAGATGACTCTCGACAATGGATATCTCGGCTCTGGCATCGATGAAGAACATTGTGAAATGCCATACTTCGTGTGCATTGCATAATCCCGTGAACCATCAAAACTTTGAATGCAAGTTGTGCCTCAAGCCATTAGGTTGAGGGAACGTTTGCTTGGGTGTCATCCCTTGCGCCTTCCCTCTCGTGTGTGGAGTACAAATAGATTGTGCCCTCATGGGACCTTCCTTGGCCGTGGTTGGGCGAAAATGTTGTCCTTGATTTTGTTGAGGTCATGGTGTGCGGTGGATGTACCAAGTGTGCATAATTACCGGCCTTGCTTGACTTCATTGTGGCGTTGGGATCCTATGAAGGTGCTAGTGTTGGCTCTTTTATTGTGACCCCAAGTCAGGCGAGACTTTTTCACTGAGTTTAAGCATATCAATAAGCGGAGGAGAAGAAACTTACAAGGATTTCTTTAGTAATGGTGAGTGAAATGCGAATAGCCGAACCTTAGAATCGACTGGTTTTGCCATTGGAATTGTAGTCTTGAGAATCATCCTTAGCGGCGGATTGGGCCCAAGTCCCCTGGAAAGGGGCACTGGAGAGGTTGAGAGCTTTGCCGGGCCTAGACCCTGTCGCACCACGAGGTGGTGTCTAAGAGTCGGGTTTTAGGGAACGCAACCCAAATTTTGTGGTGAATTCCGTCCAATGCTAAATACAGGCGAGAGCTTGATAGCGAATAAGTACATCGAAGGAAAGATGAAAAGAATTTTGAAAAAAGAGCCAAAGAGTGCTTGAAATTGTTGAGAGGGAAGCAGATGGAGACCGGCGATAGGCCCAGGTTGGATGTGGAATGGTGGTTAGACGGTCTGCTGATTCGCCCTAGGTGTGGATTCTGCTGATTGGCAGCCGGTGGTTAGTCGGTCTGCTGATTGAACTTGAACATTTGATATGCTAGGCGAATGTCGTCTCTTGTATTGCGAGAAGTAGTGTGCGCCCCGCATGTGCTTTGACACATGCATATTCGGGTCGTTGACTTGTGGGCTCTACATTTAACACCCCAAAATATACTCGAGAATTAAAAAAAAGAAATTCTAGTAAAACATAATTCTTTTTTTCATATAAATTAAATAAAAATAAAAACGACAATGTTAAATATAATTAGGTTCATTATAAGATTTAGTTTTAATATATCCAATTTTATAATATTTATATGTTTAAAAATATTTTTAATTTGTGGTAAAAACTATCATACTTTAACCAAAAAATCAAATGGTGACATTCATTTTAAGACGAATTTTTTTGAAAGGGGAATATTAAAAAAAGTTTCATCGACTTGTAAGACTATCTCCATCGTGGCTCCCTGTGGCATTTAATTTCAAGCTTCGGCCTCCTCCGGCACTTTTCGTCGATCCTCATCATGTTAGTATTCCCAAAAAGAAGAGAAACGGGAGTATCACGATTGTCATAGAGTTAGAGTGACGACGGAGAGGACAAGCGGCGATGATGCGATGTATGATTCTTCTAGAGATGGAACATTCTTATCGAGAGGATGAAGCATGAAGACGATGGAGTTGGCTGGGGAAGGAGGCGATGAAGGAACCCATGATTCCGCAAATGGATTTTAAAATCTTTACTTCTTTCGTGAGATTTGCCATTGGATTTTAATTTATACTCAAAGCCCTAAAATCCATCAAATTCCAAATTTATAAAAATCTTATAAAATCTATTCATTTTTGAATATCATCAGATTTTGAAGTATATATTTTAAAATCTGAATTGAATACATCAAAATTTTAAATGACTTTTTAAAAAGTGAATTGAATACCCTTGGATTTTTGAAATCCAAAAAAAATACTACACAATCTAGATTGAATACACCCCCCTAAGAGAGTCTTTTCTAAAACAAATATAGAAACTTAAATGAGAATATTCAAACTAGATGATCACTCTATTTTAAGGGAAATCAAATAATAGGAGCAAATATCACAATTAGATTTTAATTTTACTCCTAAAAGACATAAGAGAATTGAAATACTTGATGTAATGAAGAAGGGGTCGGAGGCCTTATTAAATAGGCTAGAGGAGTGAAACGAAACAACATGTGTAAATATATGAAATTTCACCTAAAATAGAGGCATTTTCGGTGACATCACACCCTGGGTGACTCGAGTCTCCCAGACCGGAGCACTAATAAATAAGGTTTACTTTGTAAAACATTATTTTACTTAAATATTCACTTTGATAATTAAAGAGTTCACGATTATTCACATAAGCTTAAAATAAAACGTCCACAATAAATACAACCTTGGGTTCAAGCCCGAATCAATGTATATTAAGCCCATTAATTTATTTATTATTAAAAATTAAATAAGAACTCCTTTGGCTCGGCCTCCACGTCTTTGACTTTCCTCCTCAGCAGTTGTTTCCCTTGCTAGTACCTGCGTGGCAAATAACTATTAGGGAGCATTTCTAGTTAATCATCTTTTAATACTTATCACATACTTTGTTACATTGAGAAAATATTCTCACTTTATAATGGATACTTGAGGACTTTTAGAAAACTCTTTACCTACCTAGGTTAACCTTGGATTAGAGACTAAGCCGTGACTATGCTAGAATCCTCCACTAGTCATACATAGTTTTACTTCAGATACCTTCACGTGACCTCGGGTCTAGTAATCAGAAGTGAACCCTAGACCCATGAGGACATCTTACTGGGTTCTCGTGCGCAAGTTGTGGAATAATTATTTGTAGACTCATCCACTTAAAAACATACGATCCAGTCTTATAACATGTACTTTGACTTAAAAATTGGTAAAACGTGATAATACTTGGTTAAGGTTTGAGTATTTTATTAAACAAATTCTAATGTTCACAATATGTATCACTTCAAATTTATTTAAGGGTTCACGTCCCCTTTTGAATCACAACACCCTCGGAAGTTCTATAAAAAATGCAAGTTGTGTTCATTTGTTTGTGGTGATAATTAGCTACAGCCCTCACAATTTTATATACAATTTTTACAGTTTATTGTGGGTCGGACAGTACGTAGATATATATTTGAGTCTAGTTACATGTATTTATCACAAGTATTTTACTTATTATCGTTTCCACTTCCAGTTTAGCAAAAGCGAAAACAAAATAATATTCCTTTGTTTAATTTTTAATATTTTAAACAAAAAAACTAGAGACATGCATACAAATCTATGTATAATCGTTAGATGGATTTAATTTATTTAGCATATGTACTTTTAAATTTTGTAAGTATATGAATCTATTTATACATGTGTTGGTACAAATAAGAGTCATGTATTTAAACATGATGGAAACAGTTTTTTCGGGGCGTCGATCCGATGAACTCAGTACCGGTTCAGCACCGCACCTAACATAAAAAATCTAGAAAATAAATAAATAAATAAATAAATAAAGCAGAGAAAGAGTATTTATACGCGGAAACCCAAATCGGGATAAAACCACGGGCCTTTCTGGGGTGCCATGCCAAAGGAAGGAACTTTTTTTTAATCTCGGTGGAGTTTATATATACATCTTTGTAGAAACTTAGAGCTTTTAACATCAAATGAGAAGAAAAAAGAAGAATGGTACCCTGGAGCTTGTCCTTCCCTTTTTTCTCGTAGCCTCTCCATATTTAAAGGGGAGAAATCCCTCTCAAAAAATCTTGGCGGGCTTCTTTAAGGTGTGGGTTCTCACAATCTCACCCCTTTCCTTTTCTTGAATTTCTTCCATAGCTTCCTTTAATTAAAGGGGAGAGGAGTAATTAATGGAGACAAATGGGACATCCTCCATGTGAAACCCACATGGCTTCCATGTGAGAATTTCCTTGGGGCCCTGCATGATATATTTAAATGACTTCAAATATATTTTTTTATCCATATATATTTGGCTCCGTCTTAAATAATTTATCTAATTTGTATCTTGGGCCGGAAGAAATTGGAATTACTTATACTGTTCAAATAATATTGAATTAGATAAAATCCCTAATCCATCAATACACACACATATATATTTCTTTCTTGACCACTGCTGAATTGAAGTATGCATGTGTTTGCACACAAAAGTTTGTTTTTTCCTTACTGCTATTATTATAAAATTGGAGGGTGTGATAGGCGGTATATGCATCATATATGAATATTTGGATTTATAAATCCAGATGTTCTTTGTATTCCATTATAACGATCAATATTTTAGTTTAATAAGGAAATAGAAATGTGCACAAAAAATATATTAACATAAAATAAATATATGAAGGTTGGAGTACTCAACGACACACCTTTGATATTGTTAACGAAACGGTAGTTGAACAGAACTCCGAAAGCACTTCCTCGCTATCACGCTACGTTTCCCTTAACTACTCACCCTAGACCCTTATTTATAGGTGGAGAGAAGGGGAAAAATGGATGGTTGTTTCGTTTTTTAATAAAAATATTTTGTTTAATTATATACTTATTATTGTTGATTTATGAATTCACTCTTAAGGAATAATTGTGTACATGGATGTTTATATAGGTGAGGACCCCTACATGGACTAGGATTCACCAAATAAGTAAACTAACATAAATAACAATTCTACTATAACTAGACTTATTTCCATATATATCTAACATCCCCCCTCAAGCTGAACGCCGTGAAACGAGAGGAAGCTTGGCAACCAATGCAGTGTAGCGTGGCGAGGCAAGAGCTTTTGTGAGAAGGTTTGCCAGCTGCTCATTAGAAGGAACATAAGAAATCGTCATTTTCTCTGCAATTACTTGTTCTCGTACAAAGTGGCAATCCGTTCCGACATGTTTCATGCGCTTATGGAAGACTGGATTCTTAGTCAGACAGATGGTGGACTGGTTGTCGCATAGAAGATGTGGAGGAGGGAGCTTGATTTCTAAAATGTCAAACACGTAGGTGAGCCACATCACCTCAGCTGCTGCGGCCGATAGGGCTCTGTACTCGGCTTCGGTGGACGAGCGTGAGACACGACTTTGCCAGTGACAATAATATCATCAACATAGGGAAGGACAATGAGAATGCCAGAGGGAGAGTGCTTAACAAAGAAGCTGGTGTCATGTTCATTTTTCCCAAAGCCATAGTCAACAAGGAACCCGGACAGACGCTGGTACCAAGCCCGGGGTGCCTGTTTCAGCCCATAAAGAGATTTCTTTAGTTTGCACACATAATGAGGATACTGCTGATCTACATATCCGGGAGGCTGCTTCATATAAATTTTATCAGGAATGACACCGTGAAGGAAAGCATTGGAGACATCCAATTGATGAAGGGGCCAGTTGTAATTGACCGCTAGAGAAAGAACCACCCGAATAGTCTGCTGTTTGACCACAGGGCTAAAGGTCTCAGAGTAGTCCAAACCATATTCCTGTGTGTAGCCCTTGGCCACAAGACGGGCCTTGTACCTGGAGACAGAACCATCAGAGTTATGCTTAATTTTATAAATCCACTTACATCCAATAGGAACCCGATCTGAAGGTGCCAGAACAAGCTCCCATGTTTGCTGATCAATCAAGGCTTTATACTCATCATCCATAGCGTGACACCAATAACTGTTTTGGGAGGCATCTTTATAGGTAACAGGCTCGGTGGTGGGTGGAGAAGAGGTAGAGGAGGTGGAGTAGAGTTTAGGTTTGAAGATACCACTTCGTGCACGAGTGGTCATGGGGTGCC